GATTAGGGTGCAGTCATCTTTAGGAGGGGGTGGAGTAATTCTGCCTACCAAGTGAAAAACTGCATACAAATGTGTCTTTCACATATGGAGTTGTTATACATGATTCATATTATGTTCTAGTTTGCAAAATCAATGTGCTGTTGTTAAAATACCCACCTATACAGACAGAAAGAAGCACATGATAGGGTTTAATTTGGCTTCTGTTTACCTTACTTACCTATTACTATTCTTATTTCTCTTCTGTTGAGCTATCACTCTCCTTATACTGAACTCTGAGTTACTGGAGAGAGAATGGGTTCATAAACAATGGCCGGGCCAATAAGACAATAATCCTCTGACTCACATAAGAAGCCCAGGACACCGAGCCACAAACTCTGCAGCAATCTGCCAAGAATAGTCAGGACTTGGTCAGCAGTTGCTTCCTTCTCTATTTTGTGTACCCCCTTCTCCCTGCTTCCAACTCAGGACCAACTAGAGAAAGTCAAATATGCTCCCCTAACTAATCGTATAGGATGCTACACTTCTAGTTAGCAGTCTTCCAGCTTTCCTGTGCCAATAACCTCCAATCAGAGCACTCCTGAAATTTCTCCTCTTTTCTTACTACGAAACTTTTTCTCTTCCCTGGCTGTGTTTGAATACCTGCCAAATGTAAGTATTGGTGGCTGACTCCCTTACTATAGCAAACTCTGAATGTATAGTCTGTTTTTCTCATTTTGAATGGCCTGTATTTCCACATAGCCTCTGGACCTTTACATACTAGTTTCCCACTTTTCTCTTCCAGGATGATTTTTTTCTCCTTGCCTTATGAGGGTAATTTATATTCATATTTCAAGTATCAGCTTAGATGTCACTAATAACCCAGAAATGCCTCTCAAAAATAATCCACCATGGCCAAGCAGGCTTCATCCCTAGGATGCAGGGCTGGTTCAACAACCGCAAGACCATACATGTAATTAAAGACATCAACAGATATAAAAACAAGAACCACATGATTATATCATTAGATGCAGAAAAAGCTTTTAAAAAAATCCAGCATCCCTTCTTGATTAAAACCCTCAAATACCTAGGTATAGAAGGAACATACCTCAAAATAGTAAGTGCCATCTATGATAAATCCACAGCTAACATTGCTAAATGGACAGAAACTGGGAACATTTCCCCTGAAATCTGGAACAAGACAAGGCTGCCCTCTCTCATCCCTCTTGGTCAACATTGTATTGGAAGTCCTAGCTAAGGTAATTAGACAAGAGAAGGAAATCAGGTGTATCTAAATAGGAAAAGAGGAAGTCAAGTAGTCCCCTCCTTGCTGATGATATGATCCTATACCTCGAAAAACCAAAAGAATCTGTCAACCTGCTTGCATTGTTGAAGGACTTTGGCAATGTCTCGGAGTACAAAATAAATGTGCAAAATACAGATGTATTCTAATACATAAACAACAAGCAGATGGAGAATCAAATAAAAAGCACAATCCCTTTCACAATAGCCACCAAAAAAGAAAGAAAGAAAGAAAGAAATACCTTAGCATCTTCCTAATCAGAGAAGTGAAAGAACTTTACAATGAGAACTACAAAGCACTACCCAAAGAAATCCAAGAAGACACAAACAAATGGAAAAACATTCCATGCTCATGGATAAGAAGAATCAACATTGTTAAAGTGTCCATCCTACCAAAGGCAATCTACAGATTCAACGCAATACCCATTAAGTTACCAACATCATTCTTCTCAGAACTGGAAATGACAATACAGAAATTTATATGGAAACATAAATGACCATGAATAGCCAAAACAATCCTTAGCAAAAGAAACAAATCATGAACTTCAAACTTTACTGTAAGGTACCATAATCAAAATAGCCTGGTATTGGTACAAGAACAGGCATATAGACCAATGGAACAGGATAGAGATTCTGGAACCAAAGCCTCAATTTCTTAACCAACTCATCTTTGACAAAACCTCCAACAACAACCACTGGGGAGAGGAGAACCCATTCAGTAAATAGTGCTGAGCAAATTGACTGATCACATGCAGAAGGTTGAAACAGTACCCCTACCTATCACCACACACAAAAATTAACTCTAAATGGATCAAAGACCTAAATGTAAAACCTCAAACTATAAGACTCTTAGAAAATGCGGGAACCATCTTTATGGAAATTGGAACTGGCAACCAATTCCTATTCAGAACCCTAAATGCCCATACCTTAGGGACTAAGATAGACAAATGGGACCTCATCAAACTGATGAGCTTCTGCAAGGCAAAAGAAACCATCAAGAGAGCAGGGAGACAGCCCACAGAATGGGAAAAAATATTTGCCATCTGTATATCTGACAAAGGCCTAACTAACATCTGGGGTCTACAAGGGACTCAAACATGCCAAAAGAAAAACAAACAAACAGCCCCATTAAAAAGTGGGCAAAAGATATGAATAGATACTTCTCAAAAGAGGATATATAGGCAGCTAACAGACACATGAAAAAGTGCTCAACCCCACTCATCATCAGAGAAGTGCAAATCAAAATCACACTGAGATATCACCTAATCCCAGTAAGAATGATCATCATTAATAAAACAATCAACAACAGATGCTGACAAGGATGCGGAGAAAAGGAATGCTTCTACACTGCTGGTGGGAATTAAAACTAGTGCAACCTCTTTGGAAGACAGTGTGGCAATTTCTGAAAGAACTAGAAATTGTCCTTCCATATGGCCCAACAATCCCCCTATTGGGAATATAACCAGAGGAACTCAAATCATTCTATAAAAAGATACCTGCACATGCATGTTTGTTGCAGCTCTGTTAACACAATAGCAAAAACATGGAACCAACCATTCTGCCCATCAAGCAGACCTTGAACAATTATAATACTATAAGAAAGGGATTGGCAGTAGTGGGAAACTGGCAGGGGAGGCTGGGTGGGATTGACAGTAGAGGGAAACTGCCAGGAGGGAGGGGCAAACCTCATCATAATGGACATTTGTATACCTAATCTTGATTTGATCCCACATCTTTAAAATAAAAGAAATCATGAATAACAATAACAATATTATTACGATGATAGCAAACTTGTCCTGAGCCCTTATCCATATGCTACAAACTATTATCAACTCATTTGTCTCTCACTACAATTAGTTGGAGAAGGTTTCTATTATTATCCATACTCACAAATGGGAAGAGATAATTCAGAGAGATCAAAAATCTTACCCAAGGTTATATACCTATGTAGGTGAAGGAGTGGTATAGAATTTAGATGGCCTACCACCACAGTTTATTCTTGAAACCATTATGCTACATTGCTTTCAGAATATGTTTTCAACCGGTGATGAGGTTGTGGACTGTAATCCTAGCATTTTGGGAGGTGGAAGCTGGACGATCACTTGAGCCCAGGCATTTGAAATCAGGTTGGACAACAGAGAGAGACTTTGTCTATCCAAAAAAACCAAAAAACCCCCCCTCAAAACCCCCCCAAAACAAAGAACAAAATTAGCTGCACACACTGTAGGCCCAGCTATTTAGGGGGTTGAGGTGGAAGGATTGCTTAAGACCAGGAGGATGAGGCTGCAGTGAGCTGTGATCATGCCGCTGCACTTCAACCTGGGTAACAGAGTGAGACACTGACTCAAATATATATATATATATATTTGTGTATATGTTTTCGTATGCCCTGAATTTTGGGTGAGTATCACTTAACACTATGTTTAAATAGGACTCAGCATTTCTTCTAGTACCATGTAGTAACTGTTTACTAATTTATCTGTTGTCTCTGCTATTAAACTCCTTGAGGACAAGAGTAGTGTTTATCTTGCTTATGTTTGTATGTCTAGCATATAGTAGTTTCTCTATCAGTGAGTACTTAAATAATGAAAAAATGAATGATCAAATGAATTAAATACATGCAAAAGTCTGAATTATTTTCAGAATAAATGTAAGAATACTAAGTTAAAAAAAAAAGAAAAAAACTTTTTCTCTAGGCAAACTTTCAATGCAACACAATTGTACATATGACTTTATAAACTTTACCCAGAAAACAACCTCTTAAAACAGTACAACTTCTCTTTTCTAAGTGTAGATTGCCTTCATTCTCTTAAACGCAAAGTCATGTGGAGTATTAACATCAGCATCTCCTCAGAAAGCCTCTTTCAAGCTAAGAATCATCATTAGGTTGAACTCAATATTTTCTTGGCATTGGTTTCAGAAGCAGAGTATCTTTAACTTGATAACATTCTTCTGAATGCTGTTACAATCTTAAAACACTTTCTTATACACATGCAGTCCCAGAAGAATCGGCTCAGAGCCATAGGTGGTTATGTATTCCCCTGGACTATGTCAGAATTTTAGAGCAAACACCCAACTGGGTACTGTTAATGTCCCAAGCCTCTGTCCTTTTAACCCACATTTTAGGACAGAAGCAGAGCTCTTGTTCATGCTCAGTGCGTCTCTTTTTCTAGATTCATGAGACTAATAGTTCTGAAAAAGCATAAAGACTGTCATCTAGACCAATTCCTTTACTTTATGTTGAATACCATTGACATCTATCCATTCATTCATCCAACAAATATTGATTATATACCTACTTCTGACACTATTTCAGGATTTGGGGACCCAGAGGTGAACTAGATAGACAAGACCCCTATTATCCTGGGGCTTGTATTCTAGTGGGGTTAAGAGCAAAAACATGAACTTGCATACAAATAAAGAAAATCATTTCAGTAAGTGTGAAAGTAACACAAAGTTACTTTCCAACTGCCCAAATGTATCCATTTCAAATCCATGTCTTCCAATCATTCTACCCCATCACACTCTGACTCCTTGATAGGCCAGTCTTTTTTGGAATACTACATGTTCCTCCCAGCCTTTCACTGATTATATCTAGGCAGTAATACATTTATTTTGAATAAAAGTCATTTAGAAGATTATTCCCAGTTCTCTCACTTTGAAAATTTATTGACAGCACACTAAAACTAACTTTTCTTTTTATACTTTTTTTTTCCCCCTAGGAATTGACTACTACAGCAAGATCATTGATGATTTGTTAACAAATGAGATTACGCCCATAGTGACCCTCTACCACTTTGATTTGCCTCAGGCTTTAGAAGATCAAGGAGGTTGGTTGTCAGAGACAATCACTGAATCCTTTGACAAATATGCTCAGTTTTGCTTCAGTACCTTTGGAGATCGAGTCAAGCAGTGGATCACCATAAATGAGCCCAATATTTTTGCCCTGTTGGCTTATGACTTGGGTTTATTTCCTCCTGGTGTTCCTCACTTTGGAATTGGAGGTTATCAGGCAGCTCATAATTTGATTAAGGCTCATGCCAGAGCCTGGCACAGCTATGATTCCTTATTCCGAAAAGAGCAGAAGGGTGTGGTATCCCTAACATTTTTTGTTATCTGGCTAGAACCAGCAGATCCCAACTCAGTACCTGACCAGGAAGCTGCCAAAAGAAGCATTGCTTTCCAGCTAGATTTCTTTGCGAAACCCATATTCACTGATGGTGATTATCCTGAAGTTGTCAAGTCTCAGATTGCCTCCATGAGTACAAATCAAGGCTATCCATCATCAAGGCTTCCAGAATTTACAGAAGAAGAGAAGAAAATGATAAAAGGCACTGCTGATTTCTTTGCTGTGCAGTATTACACGACTCGCTTAGTCAAGTACCACAAGAACAAGACAGGAGAACTGGGCGTTCTCCAGGATGTGGAAATTGAATTTTTTCCAGATCCATCTTGGAAAAATGTGGGTTGGGTCTACGTGGTACCATGGGGAATACGTAAACTACTGAAATATATTAAGGTAAATGAATGATTTGCTTGTGTACATGTGCATCCAAATATGTGATGGTGACAAAACAGGTTTATGTATGTGTGTAAATGGATCTGCAAAAGAATTATTTTAGGTAATAGCATGCATCTTTGCTGGCTTGGAAAGAGAAGATTAGGATTTGAGTTGGTGAGGGATAACTAGCTGGCTAAGACTTCAAGAACAGTGATCAAAGTTAGGATTTGTTGTTAAAGTCAGTTGTGGCTATCAGAGTAAGCTCAGATGTATTTTTCAGTCTGGTATTATGACTTTGATTATTAAAGGGCATTTTAAGGATTGAGATGGTTGCATCCCTTTTTTGAGTCTCAATTATGCTGGATGGCATCCAGTTTACTGAGATTAAAATTTCAAGGGAGGGTTTTCAGGAACCCTCCTCTGGGGGACACAGAATGTTGCTAGTGGCAGGACTGAGGGGTTAAGGAGCAGTGACAATAAGCAGATGCTGATGGAAGAAAGATATTTCTGTCTTCTCATTATAATAAGAGTCATTTGACGGTCTTCATGGACATTTGCACAGTTTTGCTTTTCCATTGTTAGTCATAAAAGGTCAGAGCATGGAAAATTAAGTTAATAGGGTCAGTGCAATTTGATGAAAACTAGTTTTGGGGTTGTAGCTTAGAGAAGATAGAGGGTAATGCACCTGATTTTATGAGCTTTTTTTTTTTTAACATCTGTTGGGAATAAAACTTCTGTTCTCTTTTCCTAGGATACGTATAATAACCCTGTAATTTACATCACTGAGAATGGGTTTCCCCAGAGTGACCCCGTGTCCCTTGATGACACTCAGCGCTGGGAGTATTTCAGACAGACATTTCAGGAACTGTTCAAAGGTACCATTTGAAATGATGAAAGATCAATTGTGCAAACTTAATATCATGTTACCATATGCTTATTTGCATTCAGCAAAGACCAGTGATTTTTGAAAGCTAAAATTCACGTAAATCAATGTAAAGCCATGTAATTAAGAGAGGGGAGAAAAAAGAATTTGGGAAAGAGGAAGGGGAGGATGTTGGCCTAGCTTCAACCTCCTGAAATTGAATCAAGTAAAAAGTGACTGTCTTCCACATCTTGTGACTCCTGGGTGAAGGTGACAAGAACAGAAGGAGTGGTGGCTGTTTGGAGGGAACATTAGTTATTACAAAAAAGATTAGCACTGATCAACTATAGCATGCTTATTTGCATATTTTAATATCCTAAGCACCAGAAAAATTAAATGACAGAATTTTTAAAGAACTCCAAATTAAGCATCTGTGCAATAGACTTCAAAATGGCACAAGTCTTCCATCAATGCATGTTGCATTAAACACTGTAACCAAGCAGCCCAATGAGAAATCGTTTTTTGTCATATAGAATATGTGAGTTGTGTTTCAAGACAATATTATTATTCTGGTACCCTTTTGCTCTCCATAAATCCTTTTCATGTATGAAAACAATATAGAGGAATAGTCTTTAACTGGTAGCACACATTTTTTGGATGAGTTAATCCTCCCTCTTTATTCCTTTAGCTAACTTTTAGCACAATGTTTGTTGTTTCCTAAATTTAATTCCTCCTCCCTGTAAAGGAAACATGTCATAGCAGTAAAATTCAATGCAAAGTGAGACTTTCAATTCCTTGTTTTCTCCGTGATAGCTTCACCTACCTATGATTATTCTATTTGAAAAGTTTTGTAATTATTCCTTCCAAAATTATTCAGTATTATACCAGTAACCGCCAGAAGGAATTCTGGAAAGTGAGGCAAAGTGGTCTCTTTCCAAAATCTGAGATATATCGACTGGATCCCTCACTCATGCCATATACTGTCAGAGGGCAATTGGATTCTTACAATTTGACCCAAGTAAAAGAAGTCTTTTGTATTACATACAAAATAAATTCCTCTGGGTGAGAATTCACTTTCTGGTTAGAGAGGGGAATCTCTAGTTATCCTCCTTACTTTTTTCTGTAAATGTGTCTTTCAGTCTATTGATATTTCAGGCTTTATCCTGAAGAACAGGTAGGCTAGTAACTATCAGGCAGATTTATGAATGGATGAAGGGAACACAGATAACTTCAAAATTGTTCTGTGTATTTTTGGGAAAAGAGGGATAAACAGAATTTGGCTTTTCCCCGCCATTTCCATCTTGGAGTTCTTTTTAGCACTGATCACATAATACATTTTCATTGCTTTTTGCAAAAGTTTCAAGTACTTTAGATCTCTAATGCTAAAAGCTCATAGGTGGACTCACAAACTAAGATGATTTAAAGACAGAAATGTAACAGAAGGTGAGAGTGAAAAATGTGAAAAGATTTGGGTTTGTAAGAGACAGGAGAGGAGAATAGAGTTAGGACACAAAATTCCATTTTCAACTTGTTGGATTTCTATTGTCTTTACTTTATAAAAATGTACTATATATTTAAAACATTGTTTATAGAATCTATGTTCTCTTCTGATTCTTAATAATACACTATATTCATTGTAATTGACACATGACACTATTTTTGTTTTACTTTTTTGAAAGAGCAGATTTAAAAAATGTATAGAAACCTGTATTTTGGCAAAAAAAATCTATACATAAGTACATTTATTCTGAACTGGATAGAGTGATAACTATTATATATTCTAATAGTGGACACCAATTACTTCCTCTGTGGCAGAACTCTCTTTTCTTGTAAACAAGCAGCTTTTTTTTTCTGTGAAATACCCATTTTTCCCATGCACATGCTTACTTCAGCAACAATCGTGCAAGTAGAATACAATACTGCTTCTTGTTATCAGACAGTTGATTGGTTCAGAGATGGGTCCAATGAGATGGTCCATGAGCTGGGCCAATCCTAGTTCTGCCCTGAAATTTAGATCTAGACCAATCAGTTTGTTAGTGTCTTACTGGGCTGGGGAGATATAACTTTGTGGACCATTATTCTACACTGTAAGCTTAGAGCAGTGAGAAGGGAGATACCATGCATTAAGAAAAGTGAAAATAAGAAACAAGGAGACCTTGTGAAGGACATTTGATCTTCAGCTTTTAGTTTAGTTTAGTTTTTTTTTTCCCCAGCCATATGCATGTTCTTGGGAGATGTTACGTTTACTTATCATAAAGTACTCTTTGTGCTTATCCTTGTTCTAATTGGGCTTGTGTCACTTGGAGCAAAAACAGTTTTAATTCCTGAGCCTGCGGATTCGAGACCCGCCTGGGCAGCGAGACCTCATCTCTACAATAAATAAAAGAATCAGCCAGGCGTGGTAGCACATGCCTGTAATTCCGGCTACTTGGAAGGCTGATGGAAGGATTGCCGGAGTCCAGCAGGTTGAGGCTGTGATGGCCGGGAGTGGCCACTGCACTCCAGTCTGGGCAACAGAGTGAGCCTCCAACCAAAAAAAAACCAACCAACAAACAAACAAACAAAAAACAGTTTTAATTGATACCATCATCTTATTTCCTTCTCAAAACAATGACATGAGGTCATTACTCCTACTGTACAGAGGAGGAAACTGAGTTTCAAAGAGGCTAAGTTATTCGTTCAAGATTGCAAAGTTACTATGTAGTATTTCTTAGAAAAGGCAGAATGTGCACTATTATAATTTATTATCTTGATGTTATAAGATCTGTGAGTTCAGAGCTTTCTGAGTCAAAGTGCTTGTTTGTCCTACCTAGAACCACATAGAACCTTTCCATACATTTGATACTCTGACTCACCTATATTCTTTGAAAGTGCCTCATGCTGTCTCTGAAAGAGGTGACAGGTTCTATGACCTTGGACAAAGTTCAAACATACCCCATATCTTACTTCTCATCAGAGGAGCAGAGCTGAACTTACTAATTGTTTTTCTGAGACTCCTCCGAGGTAGTTCTGATGATCATAGTTGGCAAGAACTTCACTAGTAAGAAATACCCTGTGAACAATTAAATATAATAAAAAGGTCAAGGAAGACATTCCTGGGAAGTGCTGCAGGTGAGTTCACCAAAATCAAGGGAGTCAAATGGATAATGGCTTTATGATTCTCACAAACAAAGCTTCCCTCTGACATCGTGCATGTGAACAGGCACATAATAACACTATAGTTGGCTCAATGGTGTCCTCTTGGAGGTCTTACTGACCTCTCTTGGTAAAATCTCTCAACAATTAATTGAACAGTAAAAAGTGAGATAATGTTTCTGTTTCCTTTTGGGAAGGAAGAAAAAAGAGAGGAAAAAAGTGTCATTTTAAGGAAAAAAAGAAAAAATCAACTTGTGCTTTTAAAATTATTGCATGGTTTAATTGTAAATACCTTTAAATAGGTTATATTTTAGTTAATGTAGGTCTAAATGAGAGTTAAGCAACTTCAAAAACTAGAAATAACATTTAACTAGACATTCCAACTCTGCAAATTATTCAATGAGGGGCCTTTGTCAAATCCCTCAACCTATCTAATTTTTGGTTTGTTTTTCTGTACAAATTGGGTTAACACTTTTTTGGGGTAGGGTTGTTATAAAGATTCCATTTAATAAGCTACTGTGAACCTCTCCCCCCAGCAATTCCTGGCACATAGTAGGTCCTTAACTAAGGGTAACAATTAGTATTATTATAAAATATGTACCCTTAAAAACATACCTATCATCTCTAAGTATTTTTCTTGTTATTTATAAAAGTGCCAATCCAAGATTTGTTATTTTTCTATCTCTCCCCTCAAATTGTGGCAGAAAATTTACCCATAACTGCATGTTTCTTTCTCTTTTTGGGAACCCTCTAGATGTGTGCTCTAACACCAGACCTCTCGCTATTTTCAGTCTGAGTTGTATGGAGAAGAAGACAGTTGCTCCATGCATTATTTCCCTTTGAAAGGTGACCAAATCATTAGGTGAAAAGTCAAATCGTTGACAGCAGAAACCTCTGTGAAGCAACTGGGAATTGTTCTGCCACCTGAATCTTTATATAAGTTTGGGATTCAGTGATCTTCAAAAAAGCTTTTCTCATTCCATAGGAATTTTTATTATATTCATAAAATTTATATCAGTCCCCCGTACTCCAGAGTCAGTGGGCAGTTTTGAGTCAAGATGTAGACACACACAGGTGGATACCACTATACCATAAATGTTTCTGCGTAGCCCAGGGAGGTTGCTCCAATAGCCTGTCTTCCACCTACTACCTAAACTCTCCTGAAAGTGGGGAATTGAGTCATGCTCAACCTGTTCTTCATACATTCCCAGCACATGTCTGCCTTTAACCTGGCTGGTGATCGCTCTACATTGAATTGCTAGGCTCTTTGCTATTTGCCTACTTTCTGGCCCAGTCCTTTTGCTTGGAGTAGACCAGCGTGCTCAAAGTCAGAGAAAACATGGGTTTGAGATCCGGTTCTGCCATTTCTGAGTTCAATAACTTTGGGAAAATTCTGAAGCAGGCAATGCTTCATCATCTAATCTCTAAAATGAGGATGATAGCATTTATCATCTAAAGGGTGGTGAAAGGTAAACAAAATGATGCTTGTAATGCCTAAACAGAGTCCAACACATTACTAAGGATTCTGTCAATGATGGCTAATTTTTTTGGGGTCGGGGGGAACTTTGAATCCTCTGAGGACTGGAGTTGTGTCTTCCTAACTACCACTCCTGTTACATAGTAGTGTTCTACATTTGTTTTTTGAATTTGGTTATATCTATCAGAGAAAGGTTAGTCCATAGCTAATGAGAAAGAGATGATTAAATGATTGGGAACTATATTTTCTTTCCCTAAAGAAATGTACCCGACACAGGAAGGAACCCCCCCCCCCCCAAAAAAAAAAAACAATGCAGCCTTCTGGAAAGTTTCTGAGCCAGCCCAACTTTCCAGTCAGATCCATGCCTGAGTTAGCACAGCGGTAGATGATTGCAGAGAAGGTTTGTTAATGACCAGCTTTAGGCTTTTAATGACA